TCATAATTCAGTAAGCATCTCTCTCTCTCTCTCTCTCAATGTGGTGATTAAGAGAAGAAATTATATATCTTTCTCTTAATCTTGTGAATCTTTTGATAATTTCTTGCTTTTAGTCTTGTGATATCTTCGTTCTTAATTTTCAGCTGAAATATATCTAAATTAAATCATGCAGTCAAACATTATGTGATACAATTTTCTTATGCCACTGGAGAGTTGTCTTATTTCTTGTAGCTTCAATTTAGGATCATTTTATGTTCTAAATTTGGGGTTGACTACTTGTTTGGTTATTCTGATGACTGCATCGTAGTTTTTCTTCAATTGAACAAAATCAAAGAGGCACTGGTTTTGCCTTAGTCCCAAAATGTATTTCAATGCTTATAGAATCTTCTTCTTGATCAAGATGAATTATATACTTAACATTTAATCTGAAACCATTACTTTTTCAGGAATGGGATGCTATTAATGATTTAAGGGCTGATATGGCTAGGCTTCAGGAGGGAATGAGTCATATGCAACAAATACTGGAGGCATGCTTTGATATGCAGCTTGAGTTGCAGCGTGCAGTCAAACAGGAAGTTTCAGCAGCTTTAATTCGGTGTTCCAGTGGACAAGGTTTGTAGAAGCTTTTTGTGATAAGTTCATTTCTTTTCTGAAATGAGAAATTCTATTGAATATCTAATGGTACAATAATTTGATCTGATTCTATTAAGCACATGATGATCCTAGTTCTTTTTTACATTTCGAAGATCAATAGCGTTACCTAATTAATCTGTCTACACAGTAGGCCTTCATGATGCACAGCTCAAAGGGGGAGATACATATGCTAAATGGAAAGAGCACTTCTTTTAGTTGACCGAGGATAAATCTTAGATTGATGCGGCTCTTATGGCATATCCAACGAAGCATGAATTTGATTTTCCTCACTGAAAGTTGTTTGTGAAAAATCATCAGTCTGGTACCTGATGAAGAATTATATCAAGACCAGAACAAGTTGAAAAATACAGAGCATAACATGGATATATGCAGATTGAGTAAAGTGGCATGATAAAATTAAACAAACAAACCATAATACAGAAATCATGATGGTGAGCTGATGCACATGTCTGCAATTGGAGTTCTTGGGATGTCTATATTTGAAATAAAGTCATGGTAACTTGTGTGTATCGTAACGGAAAAAAGTTACCTAGCATTTTATTGATCCACTCACATGTAAAGGCCTCTTGGTGTACAAACGACACCTTATCCAATCAATTGTAGTGCCCATGTTCCATCAAATTCCAAAATTTCTCCTTTTCCTTGACCATGTATAAGATTTTTATTCTATGAATGCATTCCTTTTCCTATTTACATGGTGCCCATGACATCGGATTGTATCTGTCTGGACATGGTGGAACTTCATCGGTATCTTAATATTCATGCTAATGGACTTCTTTTTGTTCAGTACTCCCACTGCATTAGAGCAGATATTTTGTGGTTCACAGACTCTTGTGTTGTTGCTGAAAATTTTCATTTATTTTTCATTAGGGGAGGAAGAAGAGTACTCGCAGGATGTATCGAGATGGTGTCACGTGAGAAAAGGGACTTGTTGCATCTGCTGTGATAGTCACATCGATTCTCTTCTTTACAGGTATGTGTTTCCTCTTACCCAGGTCAAACAGATCATGTAATTCGAGCGTGACAAATGCTTAATCATTGTGCTGTCTTGATCTCTTCCATCAGATGTGGGCACATGTGTACATGTTCAAAGTGTGCAAACGAGTTGGCTCAAGCTGAAGGCAAGTGCCCGTTGTGCCGAGCACCAATACTTGAGGTAATTCGAGCCTACTCTGTAGCGTAAAAACTGAAACCAAATCAGATAGATGCAACAGCAGCAGCTTTGTAGCGGGAGTTGGCATGTCGATGGAAGAACTGTACATAGGTCTAGTCATTTTTTTTGGCCTTCGGCACCCTGATTATTCATCACTGAGAAAACTTGTCAAAGGGGTCATTAATTTTGATATTGGAAGGTTAAGTAGACTTTTAACCTTTTATTCATCATTGACATGCCTGTAGAAAAATTTTATGTTCAATTATTAGTATGTCTTTTGATGTGTTTTCTGATCCATGATAGATCCATTTTAATGTTTTTTTCTTTTTTGTGTTGTTAGTCTAATGCTTGAATATTTAAGAACAATGCTGGAAGGCGTAAGAATGTTACTACATGGCATTGTCGATAGGAATATAGTATAAAATAGACATTAGTGTTGTCGATAGGAATATAGTATAAAGTATGAATTCCTACAAAATCTATATTGAGTATATATAACTACTCAGATTACGTGAGTTTTTTATTAGTGTTGTCGATAGGAATATAGTATAAAATAGACGATCTTAAAATTAAAATATACTAACTAAATAAAATTGATAGAGTTTCCTTTTGTGTTATATAACACGAATGAGTAATTATAACAGTTCATATTTACGGTAATATGGGTTTACAAGTGTTATGTATATCATATTTAAAAATTATCGTCATAAGACAATTAACAATAAATATATAATTCCATGACTTTTTTTAGTAAGCATAACTATTATGACCTAGGCTCGATGGGCTAATTGGTCTATCAACTTTGTTTAGCTCGATCCGATAAAAATATTTAAAATAAAATTTATAATAATATAACTCTTATAAGTTAATCTTAATCTTATCTACTGGGACTAATCGGGGGTGTTACAATCTCTCATACTTCATACTTAAAGGTTAACATAACCAAGATGAAACTCTAGCATGGTACATGTGAGGCATAGCCCAATGGTGGCTCCACGATATGAGGAGTCTTCTGACTCGATTGATGGGTAGTCATTTCCTACTTGAACTCCCTTACCATATCCAAATATTAGATCGGGTTTAATACCAAAATGTCACAATCCAAACATGATGGGCTAATTAGCCTATTAATTTCGTTTGGCCCGAACCATTGGCCAAAATGTTTAAGCTAAAGTTTATAATAGTACACTCATCAAACCCTTATAAGTCAATCTTAATCTTACCCACTTCCGATGTGAAACTAATCAAGGGTGTTATAATAATTTTATAACATAGCATATACAAAATAAAGATGTAAAATTCTATTTTGAAATAATTCAGAATGCTTATATATGGAAATATAACAAATTCATGAATTTTAATGTCTCATATCATAACATATACGTGCACTTCTACATCGTACGTTATCATAATATATACGTGCATTCACACATTTTACATCATAATATATACGTGCACTCTTACACCGCACGTCATAATACATATGTGCACTGTCACACCGTACGTCATAATATATACGTGTACTTTCATACCGTATGTCATAATATATATGTGCACTTTCACACTGCATGTCATAGTCTATATATGCATTGTACTTCATAACATATCTATACACTCTCACATAGCACGTCATCATATATACATGTATACAAGATATTTTTATTGTAATTTTTACAAATACATATATAAGCTTATGGCATTTTATGCTTACAAATACATACATAAGCTTATGATTAACTCATAACAATCATATCATTTAAAACATATTTTTCAAAATATATTATGCATAAGATAATTTATACGATTACTATTTTATAGTGAATTAAACTTATACTTACCATATTGAACTAAAAAATAATGATACCAATGAAAGACCAAGTTTTCTTAATGATCGAGTATGCTAGGAAGCGATACATCTATCAAACTGATAGCATAAAGTCATGAGATATGTTAATTAAGAGCCCTACCTCTTGAATTATCAATTTATAATAATTTATTGCAATAATTCATAATTTTTTTTGATAAAATCCCTCTTAAATAAATTATTATTAAGCTAAAAACTTATATAGATTCCACTAAATATTCTAACAATTCACTCTATAATCAGATGAACTAGCTAGCATCAATCAATCCATCGCACCATTTTGCAAAGAAATTTTACATCACTATTCTAGCTGACCAAACGATCTTGAATTATCATAAAATATTATAAAAAACTAAAAAACATAAAAATAAGTACATATCAAAATTCAACTTAAAACTAAATTATTTGGAGACTAAACTATTCTCCTAATTTAACTATTAGCACATATTCTATTCTGCTGAAATTCGGTTGAGAATGTCTAAACTTATAAACCTTTGTGTATAGATGTGATATTCACTCAATTTCAAATTTTATAGGAAACATATTAAAATGATATAGTCTAATCATATCCCAAAGTAGGTCAATTTAATTCGAATAAAATCACTTCTTAAAAAATAAAGGATTATGAGTACCTCAGATCGAGACAAAGCACCGATCTTATATAATATGAAACTAGAAGTCTAGTAAAAAGATAAGATCAAAATTAATGTAAAGGTGCTTAAGAGGTTACATTGAGGTCTAGGATTCAATCTCGTTAGGTCTCATTTTAAGTTTTTGTTTTTTATTTTTAATAATATAATTTTAATGTTACAGTAACTTTAATTGAGTTTAATTTGGTTTGACAAAAATGATATTTTTATCTAAACTCATCCTTTAATCTCACTTACGTATCTCAACATTTAGTATAACACTTCTCTTTGATTTGTATTCTCATTTAATTTTTCGTTACTCCATCCATGACTAACTAGCTTATGATCCTCCATAAATATAATGTTTAAAACTCAAACTTCCTTATGTTTAAAATTTAATAACTACTTCTAATCACTATATACATGTTTTTTACCATAACCTAATCTCATATTCAAGTCCTCTAACACTCTTTGGCTAGTTATGCTATGCTTAAATATTAATGCTTATGCATGCTCAACTAATATTTCATAGAACACTAAATATGATATTTTTGAAAAGCATACGCGTGGAATTAATGCTCAAACTTCCTTTATTACAAGCATGCATTACAATATTTTTGAAAAGCATGAGTTAGAAATATGCTTATGCTATGCTTATCATAAATAAGCATACTTACGTGGAAGGCCGCTGATACAACGGAAGTGAGAGTAAAAAGGCGATGGATTCCATTTCCGTCGTCGGTTGGATTCCATTTCCTTGGAAGGCCGCTTTTACCGTAGAATTCCTTTCGGCGTACGCGTATGCTGAGACGTGGCACCATCATCGTGGAAAAACATGTGGTATGACTTTGGAAGTCACACACATGATTAGAGAAAAGCGTTCCCGTACTTCCTCTCAGATCCAATTATTCCTGCTTTTTCCATTGGTGCTTACGTCACATAAAAGAATTCCCGTAACTTCCCATGAGTTGTCATCTTCCCTTTCGCTGACAGGGGAGTCAGCCACATCTCCCGGTCGCCATCCTCTCTCTCTCTCTCCCCTTCGGATTCCTCCAGCCGCAGCAGTACTTCCCATACTTTAGATTCCACAGCGTCTTCCATCTCTCTCTTACGGACACACGCCCAATTCCCATGGAGTCCAAATGCCTCCGTCTCCGTTCCAACCTTCCTCTCCATCCCTCCACCCGCTCTTCCGCCGAGGCCACTACCAGAGACCGCGGCTCCTATTCACTCCCCATCAAACTCGACCGCCGATGCTTTCCCGCCACCGCCACGCCTCCCCTTAGCTTTAAGCACGCGCCTATTCGCCCTCTTTCCTCCCTTCTTGTAGTCCCCAAGTGCTCTTCCGATCCCGATGCCGCTACCGGCGGCTCCGACCTCGCCCCCGTCCCCGTCTCCGCCCGCACCTTCACCGCCTGGGACATGGCCAGCCTCTGGGTGGGCCTCGTCGTGGGTGTTCCCGCCTACTACCTCGCCGGCAGCCTCGTCAACCTCGGCATGGCCTGGTGGCAGGGCGTCGCCACCGTCTTCGTCGCCAACCTCGTCGTGCTCTTCCCCCTCGTCCTTACCGGCGTCCCCGGCACCCGGTACGGCGTGCCCTTCCCGGTCCTCGCCCGCGCCGCGTTTGGCGTCCGCGGCGCCCACGTCCCGACCCTCCTCCGCGCCCTCGTCGGCTGCGGATGGTACGGCATCGAGACCTGGATCGGCGGTCAGGCCGTGTTCCTCCTCCTCCCGGCCGCGCTCAAGAGTTCCGCCTCCGCACTGTCCGTCATTCCCTGGCTGGGCACCTCACCGTTGGAGTTCTCCTGCTTCTTGGTCTTCTGGCTGGCCCAAATGGGCACCATCTTGCGGGGGATGGACGGGATTCGGGAGCTCGAGAAGTACTCGGCGCCGATCCTCATCTTCCTCTCGTCGGCCCTCCTCTGCTGGGCCTACGTCAAGGCCGGCGGCTTCGGGCGCATGCTTTCCACGCCTTCCCGCCTCTCCACCGCCGAGTTCTGGAATCTCTTCTTCCCTTCGCTCACCGCCAACATCAGCTACTGGGCGACGCTGGCGCTCAACATCCCGGACTTCACCCGCTACGCCCGCAGCCAGAAGGACCAAATCCTCGGCCAGGCCGGCCTCCCCGTCTTCATGGGCGCCTTCACCTTCCTGGGCCTGGCGGTGACCTCCGCCACCGAGGTCATCTTCGGCCGCGTCATCTCCGACCCCATCCACCTCCTTGGCCAGATAGGGGGCCTCTCCACGACCATCGTCGCCATCTTCGGCATCAGCCTCGCCACCATTACCACCAACATCGCCGCCAACGTGGTCGCACCCGCGAACGCCCTCGTGAATCTTAGCCCGTCGGCGTTCACGTTCCGTAAGGGCGCCCTCTTGACTGCTTTGCTGGGCATCGCTTTCCAGCCCTGGAGGCTGCTGAGCTCCAGCGAGAGCTTCGTCTACACTTGGCTGCTCGGGTACTCCGCGCTCATGGGACCAATCGGAGGCATAATTATAGCCGATTACTACCTGGTGAAGCGGATGGAACTGGACATGAGTGCGTTGTACTCGAACGACCCGCGAGGCTCTTACTACTATCAGAAAGGATTCAATGTCGCGGCAATGGCCGCTCTGGTTGCGGGCATCCTGCCGATACTGCCGGGCCTCCTTCACAAAGTCGGCATTTTGGCAAGCACTTCGGGGGCATTCGTTGTGGCCTACAACAACGCCTGGTTCGTGAGTTTCTTCATTGCTGGTGTTGCCTACTGGATTCTTTCTAGCTCAGGAAGAAGGTGGAAGGGCGCTCATAATGCTTGATATAGTATCGTCGATTCCTGCATCAATAACAAGAAAACAATTCTTAGCTGAAAGCTGAAGCCATCTAAAGAAGTAAACTGAGAATGAATCAGAGATCAATCAAAGCAATAGTTCCCTTGGTTGTTTAATCGAAGATGATTGGTCTGTAATGTGTTCATGGTGAACTGTTGAGATAAGTAATTAAGGGCATCAGCTCAAGATGAGGTGAAGAGGTTTCAGCAGTTCATATGTCTTATTTTACACTTGAATTTATTTAGTGATTTCTTTAAGATTCTTTCTCATTGGTGTATTTAGATTGTATCAATGCAAAATAATACTTTGGAATAAATGTTTTGATGTTTCTCTGTTTCCAAAAGTGTACAAGTCTAATTATGTAACCATGTAAAGTCCTCTATAACAATCTCATTAACCTGTAGACATTTCCAATTTTTAACATCATGTCTTTACCTTTGGGACTCTGTTGTAAAATTTGAAATTTAACTATGAAAATTCTCATGCAACAATCTAAAGTATCAAATTACAGATAAAAAAAGAAAATCTTAATAGTTAATACCATATTTCTTGTCTTTTCCCTGAAAATTCTACTTGCCAATATACCATTTATAGGGTTGACATAAGCATCACAATCCTCTGCATGTATACTCCCATACACAATTCATGAAAAGATGTTAGCTATACTTCAGTCAAATGTCTAATAAATTTAATCGGAGTTAAAGTTTCGATTTCAGATAAGTCCAGCAGTCATGATTTAGAGCCTTCAATGATAGATAGCATAGCAACTTACAGAAGCTTTATTTTACTCAACTAAACAGCAAGAAATTAAAGTTAGCTAGTGCTCAACCCCAATTCCACAAAATGTTTGCCAAGAGCCAGCTCAAACTAGCTAATATGCTTGTGTTTATTAAGGACTAGCAGATGTGGAAAAGCCTGTTTGCAAAATCTAGACAGTGAAGACCCACAAGTTGTATGACAAAAAGAAATAGCATATGGGGACATACCTTTGTCCATTACTATTTGCTCCAGCAAATTTCCTGTTATAAAATTGCCAACTTGAACAGCCTGGGAGTGATTCTTGCTCAATTATCAAAAGCTCATCAATGCCAACCCATCCCATAGCTTGACGAAATATATAAAAGAGCAATTATTTGTGGAGCATGATCACATTGTGTTCATCAACATGAAAATAAATTATTTGATTGCCAGTGCACTTCACATAAATATGCTACAACCTACTAGTTGGATTTGATCAGATGAGGATGACACAATGGTCATAATATCTAGAAATACTAGCAAATCATAACATTGTCAATGGTGTGACCTAACTCTGTCCCTTTCCAATTGCAGGAAGTTTTCTTTTGTATAATACATTCCAATAATATGTCTAAACTAATTAAATGCAAGATTAATGGTTTTCCTTTTAGTAGACCAAACACCTAATGCAGGTATCTGCAACTAAGACAACTTAGCTGCAGGTTTTCAGTAATTTAATCAGTAGTGTCCTAGAAGAAGTTCTGTATGCAAGTCAAGGCAAAGTATTTGTTTTTTTTTTTAACCACAAGAAATAATGCAGGTCCATGACCTTTTTGCATATAATCAAATAAAAAGACAAAGAAGTATGAAACAATACATATTGGTCCAATTATTGAATATTGAAATGACAAGTGCTACATTCATCATGACAGATGCAAATTTAGCATTGAAGTTTATGAAGATCAACACATGAACTTATGCTGCACATTACAATGTAGGAAATTACAATTTCCCAAAAAACGAACAGCAGATATATGAAAATAGAATTAGAGTTTTTAGCATGAAAATAAGCAGTAGGCATTAAGAATGAAATGCTTGAGGGATCGAAAAATCAGAGTATAGTTTCAAGCCCCAAACTTTCTGGTCTTTGTACGTAAAGTCATTTTTGAGTCGGCCCATTTAGTTGGGACTTACGATTTTATTATCGTTGTTGTTTTTGACATGAAGTCTTTTCTGTCCTCTACTTCTAGCCTTGCTTTCCATTGGTTGATCTATAAAATATATTAATTGAAACAAAAATTTATAGTATTAAATTATCATTTAAAATTATAAGATTGACTCAACTTTTAGATGCACTAACCTCACTGCTGCTCTTTAAAAAAAAGCACTTCATCTGAAAAAATAAAGATCCAAGTGTAACACTCCGTTTAATATCTCAAGAGTGTTTAAAGACAAAACTGACTCTAAACAAAAAAGGTCTAAGTGTAACACTCCATTTAATAAGAGTATTTAAAGATAAAATTGACTAAGAAGGATTTAATGAGTATATTATTATTATCCTAGCCGTAAACATTTTGGACTTGTATAATTGGCTCAAAGAAGTTAATATAACAAATTAACAATTATACTATTAGACCGGGTCATGATAACAGAGCCCCCACTTGGCTAGAACTCACATATACCATATAAGTCAATCTAGTCTTTAGACTCTCTCTATGTGAATTGGACCATATAAGTCGATCTAATCTTTAGACTCTTTCGATGTGAATCGGGCCTTCCATTAAGGACCATATGGGCTTTTCAAATGTCTCTGCCATTCCTATTATTACAAAAAAAATGAAAAAAAATGAAAAAATGAATATGCAATCATGCAAAACTTTTACCAAAGAAGCAATCCTACGAAAACAAAGAAGGTTTCCAAGAAATGCAATTTGGAAATCCTGTTCACTTAGGAAGATAACTCTGGGTTAAAATCATGTAAAAAATTTGAACTTTTTTTTCTTGATATTATTGTCTTTTTAATCTTTTATAAAGAATGTAAGTAATCTTGAACTTGAAGTAGATACATATTAAATAGGTTGTAGGTGCACCAAAAGTATCATAACAAATTTTCAAATGCAAAATACTGCCATGATTTAAATAAGATTTGATGCTTAAATTTACCACAACTGTGCAAAGCTTGTTATGTATATCACATCATGTAAACAACTGCATCCTGTTTGTTTTTCAATTGATTGAGATTTGGATATACAAATGGAACAAAAAATTATGGAAGTATATGGTTAAAAATCAAGTAACACTTCCATTACTATTAGCATTGGGCAAATTATGGATTACCCTTTATAATTAAACCTTCTTAACATCCTAGTCCCTAGATTTTAAAAAATTTATATTGAAATTTTTATAGTTATGAATATAAAACATTTAAGTCCATTTACCTTAATGCCGTCAGTTTTATCGATGAAAACACAAAAACAATATGCAAAAATATAATTTCAACGTTCTAGTTGGTGGTGACGAGCGACATTGGTGATGATGGACGACGATGCCGCTGGGGGCTGTGGGTGGTTGGTGTGAATGAGGAGAGCAGTGACAAGAGATGAGAGTCGTTCTACATCTGTGTCGATGCTGAAGCAGTTGTCGAGTGACTCTTTCGTTGCTCTATATCTGCGTTAGCATCGACGTAGTTGTTGAGCGACGAAAGGTCGCTCACTTCATCAGCGTCGATGCAGTTGTCGAGTAGCGAAAGGGTCGCTTGACATCTGCATCGACGACCCTTTCGTTGCTCGGCAACTACGTTGGCGTCGATGTAGTTACCGAGCAGCACTGCTATGCAATTGCGTCTTTCGCTGCTCTTCATCTACATCGATGCCGATGTAGTTCCCGAGCAACCCTCATCTCTCGTCATTGCTCTCCTCATCTATAACAGCCACTCGCGGCCCCTAGCGACGTCGCCATCTGTCACCACTGATGTCGTTCATCACCATCAACTGGAACATTAAAATTATCTTTTTGCTCAGTATTTTCGTATTTTCGTCGGTAAAACCGATGACATCAAGATAAATGGACCTAGACGTTCGTAACTATAGAAATTCCAATATAAATTTTTTAAGTCTAGAGATCAAAAAGCTAAGGAGGTCAAACTAAAGGGGATAATCTATAATTAGCTCATCAACGTTTTTCTACAACTTAAAAGCTCAACAACAATTTGATGTAACAAGTTCTTCACATGATAAGCAAGTCATAAGGTTTGGGTATTAAGTTTGTCATCTTATCGCACTTCTCTTACAAATAAGAGCGCACAAAATTGACCACTATAAAGCTTTAGATATAATTCTCTAACAAATATACCTCATGAGGACATGCATCACGACCACATGTAGACTTCATCCATAATACCATGTAACTTGGTTGTCACTAGACTTCATCCAGAGTTTCAAGCGCGGCTCTAGTATAGGTTTAGGGTTTTAGTCAAGATTCGAAGAACATAAACATGACTAAAAGATCAGAGACAGGGACAAAAACAACCATATTGTATGAGTTGTAGAAACCCCACATCCCCAATTGAAACTATATAATCGATGAAAAGAGAACAAAAGAATAAGATAAACAGAGAAACATTTAAGACATGCACCAATCACCGTTGCAAGGGGAGAGCACGATTCACCGTTGTTGCAAGATGATGAAGACGAGTTGTGGAGATGACCTTCTTGCTCTCCCCTCTTCTCTCTTCGCTTTATTGTTCGCCATCGCAAACCCTCTACTATCTCCGCCCCTCCCCCCCCCCCCTCGGCTTTTAGACCAAGCGAAGCAGAAACGAACGTCGACAGTTGGCAATGTCAAGTGTCTTGATTTGTTTAAATTTCATGTCCATAAAATAAAATAAAAAAATCCTTTTTCTTTTGCCTATTAAGTTACATATTCATTATTTAATAAAATCAAACATATAATTGATATTGGATTAATCATCATCCAACGTGAAATTAAGCAATATTATGAACTCCATCAACTTCTTTTTTTATAAAATAAATAATATTTTTTTTATTTATTCCTTTAGAGAAAAAAAAGGTGAATTTTAGTAAAAAACTATTAAGCTTAAAAATTTTTGGTAGAACATATAAACTTTGAAAAAAATCATTTTATCTATATCTTCGTTAGATCATCATCACATCCGCACGTCAATAGTTCATAATTTTTAGTAGATCCTTCCATCAGACCTTGTTAGACCTAATGATCAAGGTATAATGACTCTTATCGGACCTCGCTTATCCCAATAATGGAGGCACAACTCTCCCTCGTCATTTGTGAGAAAAAATAAAAAAAAATTTAAAAAAATCTTTAAGTTTGAGAATTTTTTATAAAATACCTTAATTTTAAAAAATTCTCACATCGTTAGTTACGTGAAAAGATTATTTTACCACTATTTTCACTTGACCTATTGTTATATCATTACCTTTACTTGTAACCCATCCTGTTGTTAGTCACATGAAAATCTTTGTCTCCGTCGCTGGATGGGTTT